CAGGAGGGGATTTCCACCACAAGTTGGAGATCAGTACAGAATCAATTAAGGGGAATGATGGTTGTGAGTCTGTTTCAGAGTAAATGGTTGCAGGAGACCACAGCCAACGTATGGCAAATGATACACATCCATGCAAAGCACATTAGTTGCTGAGCTTGGTTTGAAAACAGACAGAATTAGTCACAAAAGTATAAAAAAGCTGTGCTTTTCTTGAAGTGTGGGTACAAAATATGCCTTGGGGGGGGGCTCTGTACCCAGACAGTGCAAAATTGATCTTTTGAGTGATGAATGTGACCCCATGAATGTAAGTTCCAGTTGGAAAAGTCTTCGTTGATTTAACTTATTCAAACTTTTTTACCTTTCAAAAAGGACATTGTTTTCTTTCTTTTTGTTTATTTTTGGTAGCAACATAAGTGCCACTGGTAGAACCTGGGACCAATGAAGATTTGATCTATCTGTAGAAGAAGTGATTTTGATAAATTTTCTACACCAGTTACTGTGTTCTAAACTAAAGCTAAACTGAACTAATGCTAATTCTGGCGTCAGACTGGGGTCCAGGTAAGCTTGATTTTAACCTTTGTTCACAGAATGCATCCCTTACTCCTCTTCCGTGTATTTATTTGTGCTTTGTGGGAAAAAGCTTTTATCAAAGTTAGGTTTTAGGTTTGGAAAGCAGAGTCCTGTTTCATGTCGTTGAACTTTGTACAAATGTTTGCATCTCAACTTGGGTTGTTGGCAGCAGGCTTTCATGAAACACCAGTTTTGTATCTTTCTCAGTTTGGCACAGGGTTTCACATGTATTTAGTTCTTTATTCCAACCCGGATAAGGAGGAAATTGTTTAAAGTTAAGTATCGCATAATTTCTTTCTTGACACATACACTTATTTGTTTGTTGTTTTTTGCCATTGTGCAAGTTGTGGTTTTTTTGTTTTTTGTTTTTATTTTTTCTCCAGATATATATAAATTGTCATTTTAAATTTTCATTTTGAAAAAGAAAATTACAGAAGTTGTTTTTTTTTACTGCTAATAAGAAAACAAAATGGATTCCAAATGCCTGATCTGGTTGGATTTTCAACTGAATAACTGAAGGATAGCACATTTGCAGACATTGAAATGTTGTTTGAATTATGCAGTAGCTTTTATCCGAGTCGCGTAACAGTTGAAGCCGCAGTAGAGCTTACAGCAAGTGCCAACATCTTGGGTTTTTGCATTACATCACGTCGCAGCCCCTTCCCCTCCCCACAAGCATGATGCACGAGCAGTCCCTGTCTCATCAGGAGCTCTTTCTGTGTTTTTAAGAGGCACTTTGGAGGTGACCTGTGACATTTGTGGCTGCTCTACTGCTATGATCCTGCTTTTGCAATCCAGCTGTGATATGAGTCATCTTGCCCTCAATTTTCATTGAAAACGGGAACCAGCATTTTTTTCCCAGTTCACCTGACAAATGGTGAAATTGACAGTACGTAAATGCTGCAGGCTGACATGAAAAAATTACTGCTTCACTTGAAATGAATCTCTTTGTTTTTCCCTTTCTTCTTTTCTGTCTTTCTTAGATTTGCACAGTCATTTTGGTTGTTTTGCACTGGAAGTGAAAATCTGTATGTTTTTTTAGTTTTGATTTGCACACATGTACTTCAAGCAGGATTGTTTTGTTTTTTTAGTTGGTGGGGTTCAAAGTGCATTTGCCTATCAAAACATAATGCACTGAAGCACCGTTGATTTTAGAGCAACACAGAAGATTGGCCATAGCATGACATGAAGAACGTGGTCTTCACATTTGGAACCTCCCGAAATTAAGACAAGTTCCCATTTTTTTATCTGCACGCTGGAAGAAGCCACGTCTATTGTAAGGATGGGAATTCATAATTAATTTGAAAAATGTTTAGAAAACTGTCCCATACTGTTTAAACCTTTTAGCCAACACTTTACAGAGGCTGCTGCCTTTCTCCGTGTTTTCATATATGCATAATTATATAGTTCAGCAATGCGCCTGGTCCAACCAATGTAAAATTGTAGATTGATGTTATGGCATTGAAAACAAGCAATATTTCCTCCAAAAAAAGTACATGGTACAAAGTGTTCTGAAAATCAAAATACATTTAACAGGCATTTGCAATAAAAATGGATGCCAAATTGCATCCATCGAAACGTGTAACATCAAGAAGCGGCAGTTCCGATTCAACTTTTGGGAAAATCCACAAACGGATTTGGAACTTGTTTAATTTAAACGTGCAAACGTCCCACTCTTATATGTCTAGAGTCGCCCACTCTACCCCCAGCAACTCTTCTTACAAAAACCAAGCCCTCATCACTACGTCTGCAGACTCTTAGGTGATTTTAACCTTGAAGAACTTTAAATGGAAATGGTGGTTCAGAAGGGGAAGAGGGTACAGGACATGCCTATTCTCCTGTAACAATATGTGTATAATGATCACAGCCATTTCTTTTGTCACCACGAGGAAAAAACTATCTGACTTTGACAGGTATTCCTTATCCTGAGAGTTGCGAGGAGTTCAAGAGTTGTGTGGATTTTCTTTTTATCATTGTGCAACTCGAAAGATTGCTTACTCTTAACCTAACTCGCCCCTCCCCCCCTCAAAAAAAATGCCTTTAATACCCAAAGCATAAATAATTTCTCCTTTTCTACCCTTGCTTCACATTTCTAAGGAGACCTCTACTGGTGCAAGCTCATTCACCCGTTTTGTCTGCGATGAAATTTTGTAGGTCGCTGCATGCGTGTGTGTACCGTGTGTCCAGTAATGTCAAGTGTCAGCACCAATCCATGTCATTGCTGCCTAATTTGTTATTTAAACGGATTGTTCTGATCCCGAGGAGGATCATTTCCGCCATTGACTGCGAGATGCATGATGTTGAATAATTCATGATTTTGCAGATATTAATCTAGTTTGCTTTTTATTGTCATCTTCCAGTTTACGACTGAAGTCTCACAGCAGGCACGGCCGGTAGAATTGGCAGCTTTGGGGCCCTGCATTTCCCTGCAGTTTTGTTGAAATTGTTCTGTGCTCATCCTACGCCCAAGCTTATATTTCTAACATGGAAATTTTCTTTAATTTTTTTTACAAATGTTACTAGCAGGGATTGGCATGAGTGCTTGTTTCACATGTGAAACGTAAAGATGTGCAATGTACGAAGATAACGCGTATGAAAAGCAACAAAGTGCTTATAATTTAGATAGTTTGTGTTTTGGGCTTTTTGTCATATTGCATGATGCACTCTATAATTTCTTATTAAAGATTTCTCCCCCTCCCCTTTTTTGAGGGGGGGCATATTGCTTAATCTCACATTTTTTTCGCAAAACTGCTTCAGTAGACAAAGGGTAAGACAGGTGTCCCGCTGCTCTGGATTGCCCTGAGAAGATGGCATGATTTCCCCTACACAAACAGACAAACATCCGTGTTGGACATCATCGGAGCAACCTGAGATTCCAACTCCAACCAAACTGCCAAAATAAATGGTCTGAGCTCGGCCTCAGTATCTTCCCATTCATGAAATGAATAGGTGGAGCAATTGTGGATGCAGGGTCAGCTTTGGTATTGCATCAACACAGTCATGAATAAAGCGTTCCATACACAAACTTTTCTTTAGAACTGGGGCAAGGAGACACAAGTAAACCCCCAACTACTAATGCAAAATTCAGAATCTTCTCAGAATTATATTACCAGTTCTACAGTAGAAGTAACTTAAACATATTGCCCATTTAGGAGCTAAAATAGTGTACATACATCCCCTATCGAAATTTAAAATATGCAAAAAAAAGCTACGTTTTAAAAGCCACTCAAGGTGCCCCACTTGGCAGGAATTTTCCCCCGTGAGAGGAAAAAACAAGAACAGGCAAGTTTTAATAGAGAAGGCTACCGTAAATTACTGATATGCCCCGTCAGTTCCAACTTGCGTGCTTGTCCGTTAAGCTTAGTTAACTTCCTGAGGAGGGAGTCAGGAACTGGAGACGGTTTTGCTTGAATTCATCCATTTATGCTACACTGGCTAAGCATTGCCTTGATGAGCACTATAGTTTCATTTGACACCAGAGTTCAAGTGAGGCGGTGTCGAAAGGGGCAGCGTATAATTTTTATGTATAAGTCCCAGTCTTATTCCTGCACAGGCTTTATTCTTGATTCGACTTCTGGCAATTATTCTCTCTTAATCAGGTTTTTTTTTAGTGCTGCTGCCACCCTGGTCTGTCCTTGTGACTGCAAAGCTCATCTCGCTTTCACTTTTCATTTTATTTTTATTCTGTTCAGCAGTTACGCCAAAAACAAATAAAGCAATCATTCATTGGAGCAGCCTGGGATTCATCAGCACGTATCATCTGTTTCACTTGCATTATATTCATTGCATATTACCGGCATCTTCATTTTCTTTTTTATATATGCCGGGTTAATCTGGCTATCAAGTCAGGTGAAGTTCATGAGCAGGTTACTTCTCAAAACTGTGGGGAGTTTGCTTTAGCCGAACAGTGAGAGCTGTCAGACCACGCAGAACCTGAACATTGGCTGCAGTATACAGCATTGAAACTGCCTCTCAAGATGGTTTGTGGTGTACCGAGAACCTGTGTATTTTTAACGTACCGATGCTTCCAAGCACAGCATCGTCAGTTGTGTTGAAATTTCAGGTTGTTAACAAATGATATCCAGTGCCCTAACATAAGGGAGAAGGGTTTCCTACAACAGTTCTACTAAAATATCTGTGTTTTCTGTCTGTTTTATCGCTGTAGGTTGACCTCACCATTTAGGGCTTTGTTACCCAGGATGTTGGCAGTATGTTGTGTGGCTTCCACTAATGCTGAATTGAAAGAAACAGGGAAAATTAAACAAATTAACTGCAACTCTTCTTTGTCAAGGTCTTATTGACATGTCTGAAGATGTGTCCGCCCCATTTATTTCATTTTTTTTGTTTGTTTGGGGTTTTTGTTGTCGGGTTCTCTTTATTTTTTCCTAAAATACCGAGTTCTGTTGATTTTTTCCTGCAAAATGCTGTAGGTTTGGGTTGCTGCTGCAGCTCAGAATTTCAACTCCATCGGGATTGCCTTTGGCTCCATGATTGCCTTCTCCAGTTATAACGACTTCCACAGCAAGACAATCCTAAGGTGAGAGCACTACCCTCTTACACAGCACCCCCTCAATAAACCACACGTTGCCTAGTTGATCCACACGCCATGTCTTGCGTACATGCACATTGTAGAGGCTTCTCCAATGACCTTCCGCAGCATTCCAGCACGTGTTTGTCGTGCAAGTTGTGTTGCATATTTTACCTCCAGAACGTTTTGAATGATCAGGAAAATTTCTGTTGGGTTGATTTCCAAAATTTAAATCATTGACCGGTGCTGACCAGGCATACTGTCTATGTAAATTGAATTGTTAAATTTGGATAAGTTTATGAGCATTCCTGGATACATTCACTGTCGGAATTAACATACACTTCCATACCAGTGGTTGAAGAAGATTACAGCAAATGCTTGTAACAGCAGAAAAAATTTCATTGTCGTAAGAGTTCTTCAAAAGGAAGAACATTTTCTCATAAGCCCTGCCCCAATGCTTGTAATTTTGCCATTTTGATTGCAAAACACTCTGAGGTATCAGTGTCTAACAGAAGTCACACACAAGTAGGGATTCTTACATTTATACTAAGGCCTAGCCGTGCCCTATTGTGACAGTCAGCCATACATGCTGGTAGTGTCCTTTCTGTGAGTCGTGTATAGAAGGTGATTGACTCGGACAAATTGCTTGTCATTAAGAGCAGCTGCTTGATATGCTCAAGCAGTCGCAAGATACATGTATTGAGCTCCCTGGATTATTAAGCCCTATCCTTTACCTACAAGTAATTCGACCCCAGAACATGCAGTCCTTCACGTGGATTGGGGAAAATCCTACACTTCCACTAGGCACAAGTTCCATGATTAATTTTTAAAGGTCCCATGCAATGCAAGCTGTTTTAATACCCATTCGGTCCTTCCAAGTGCACCGTGGTGCCCCAATTCAGCATAGTTTCTGTGTCATTTTGCCATTTTATTGGGCATTATGAAAGCTTTTGGATTTTTATGCTAATGCAGATTTGCATATTTCATTCACAAAATTGAAAATGATGTCATACCCAGCACCGAGATTTGCCAAAATCGTTGCTGCCTGAAACTGTCTTTGCTTTTGCGATTCACTGTGATCACAGCATCCACGGTACGACAGTAGGCCAGAGAGCAAACTTTTCGCACCACTGTTTTCAGTGAGCAGCTGTAAATCATTGGTTAAAAGTTGGTTGGTAGGTCAGTTAAAGTCAGAAATCAATTATCTTAGTCATCAGAAATTGGCACCTGTTATGTCCTGGCTTCTACAAAAAGCAGATCCAAGACTGCTAATGGCTAGCGAGCATCTGCTCGGAGATGGATGTGCCAGCAGAAATGCTGTCCAAGGGGATTAGTGTATTCCGTGGGCTTGAAACCAAGTTAAAGAAGTGTCGTTATCTAACTATATCCAGTGTCCTCTGCTTTTGGCCAGTGCAATGCACTCCAGAAATGTGGCAGGTCATATCACTTGTTCTTTTTGTCAGGCAGAATGTAGCAAAGTCTGCACATGCAGGTCATCAGCGGGGCTCAGTGAATACACAACACATGGCAGCCCTATTAGAAGTGGACTGATTGCCGGTCGCATTTTGGATTTGCCCCAAAAAGGGGGGCAATGTTCGATAACAGTACTATGCTCATGCACTCTGTCCACGGGCAGTAAAATCAAAGCCAAAACAAGGCAAACAAATGCAACTTGCACAGATATTGAAAGGCTGTCGGGTGCCATCGTGTCTGTTCACTGCTCCAAATGGTGAACAGCGTGGTCAAGTGTTATTTTGGGGTTACAATCTACTCCTGTTCAGTCATGCTTGATTCAGTTGGAATGTGCTGCATTGAATATGTTTCTACATACCTGTACGTGTACTGTACATTGTACTTGGATAGGATTCTGCAGTTAGAGTGATTTTTAGCTCAGCAAATTTGGTGAAAGTGAAAACTGCAGCGTTCTATTAAGGGGAGAGCAAGCCTCGTCCTGCAGGTTTCGAGTTGATGAATCTCAATCTGAAGACAAATTGAAGTTGTTAGCTTAGTATCCTTTTAGTGTTGAAACTAATGACCTCAAGTTGCAAACATCTTTGTCGGATACACACTAACTAACCAGCATTTCAACATTGCTTGACAACTTCCGTTTAGTGCATTAGTGTGACTCCTGGTAGGCATAAAGATTACGTCACATTAAGTGATCCCATTAGTATGTCACTATTCCGCCTGGACGGTTGTCCAGAAGGCTTTCAGTTGTATGGTCAACTCTTGTAATGGCTTTGAAGTTCATAAAGCAATCAGGAACATCAACTGAAACATGTGTTCCCTGTCTGAGGAAGGGAAAGTCTAGCAAAGAAATCTCTCATTTACAGGAAAGCTGTTATTTCCAAGGTCTTTCTGAAATGTTGAGTGGATTATATTGGATGGGACATTAAGCCTTTGTAGCAAGTCCACTTTTTCAGTTGTCTGTCAAGCTCACCTTGGTTTATCTGCTGAGCTGTCTGGGTATAAATCCTACTGGAAGGTGCACTCATACCCTCAAGTCTCCATTTATAACCCTGGGAAACTTTAGATGCATCGTTTTTCAAATTCTTAATTATTTGTTTTCATTGATTTATTTCTAATATGTCATTTTATTTTTTTGGCATCTTGCTCAAACATCAAGGAGAATCATTCTGTCAGATTCCAAACAATTAGTAAAACATCTCAGTAGGAATGACTAGCGTCAAACATTTTCTCACACACCCCATTAATTGTACAGCATACTTACCCCCCCCCCATTTTGTGGGATTTCAGCTTAGTTTTATGGACGTACCAAGCAATCCAAATGAGAACTGAGAGTATAATGTACATGTATAAGTACACTCCACTTTTCAATAGACATTGTGACCCACTCACATACTTGTGTATTTATGGTCGTGTAACCTCATGTGTAAAACACAGTTTGAAACTGAAACCAGTCCCATTTTTTTTACACATAGCGAAACATGTTGGCCAGCCGATAAACTGGTTTCACCAGCTGGATCACACAGCTAGGAAAGATAGGCAGACGTAGCTCTTGTCCTTGGCAGTATACTGCCCTCAACAGCTTTGTGAAATATGTGTAGTCTCCTGATCAGAAAAAGAGAAGAAATGCTGCACAGATTCATTTAGTAAGAAAAAGTCACAATGGAATGGGTCAGAAATAGTATGAGATGCTTCAGGATGTTGCCAGGTAACTTACATACATGCACATGTACATTGCTTGGCAGAATCTAGCCACACTTTTGTGTTACAATATACACATAGGGCTGTGGTAGCCCTGGTCCCACAGGAAAAGTACTTTCTTCATACCAGCCAAGATCATGCCACCCATTGCAACACATGGATCATGCTAGGTCAGAAGGGACACATGACCGTACAAGACTTCTATGATAGCAAAAGGTTTCAGTTGACCTATATCCTTGCAGGTGTATGGATATGCAGATTTATTAGTAACCTGCAATCACCTTGCAGTTCAGCATGCCGTGGTGAAAGCTTTGAAATCCAACAAATAAGAGACGCTCTACTTGTGCGTTGTACTGCCTACTGTCCATTCATGAGTGCTTTGTTGCTCTACCCCTGACCACTGACGAGTGGGTCAAGATGGTTTTTTGAAGGCAGAGTTCAGCGGGGAAATGGTGCGAAATGTACAGTTGACCTGCAGATGGTTTGGTTCTGACTTGAAAGTCAAATATAAAATGATTTTTTTGTTTCTTTGATTGTTATCGAACAAGGCCGTGATTAATTCCCGACTCTTAACTTTGCACATGTGTAAAGTGCACTGATCAGAAAAAGATGAAACAAACAATTGAAACATTTTAATCTAAGTCAACATGTAGGTAGCAGACAAAGACGCGAAGCGAGTAGTAGGCCATTTTTTTTTAACTCATGTGCAGTTGTTTGTTGCTGTCCAAAGATCTGGTGAAGAAGAAAAATGGCAAGGACATGTAGCTCACGTTTAATTTTGCAAGAATGGTTGGGATGATTAATTGGGAGAGGGGGATCCCACATGGTGAAGGTAGTGCAACACCCCGTGGCCTCACATCACTATGAACATCAAAATAAGCCTCACTGTCTTGTTACCAACCTAGGACATACAGTTACTGACCACATAATGTCCTATGTAATGGTAGCCAATCTTGGGGAGACCACGTGATACATGCACCCCATGATAAGAGCCCCATCTGGACCGAGAGAGGGCACGTTTTTCCCAGCAATGGAGACTCCTTTGAATGGAACTGCGCTGTGCTGGTTTACAAATGACGATGAATTGCCTATGTTGGGATCGCTAGGCTACCACTCATGACAAACAGGGTTCTTTCCAACCAATGAGGGGGTGTTTCCACCCATCAAGGGAGGTTCGTAGCTGTCTGTTTTCTATCAAATATGGTTTTGCCCCTGTATGGCACCCTGAAATTTGAAACACTAATCAAAGCACCCATCTTGGATCATTCCATTGCAGCATTGGTTTCTATTGTAATTTGCCGTCTACCGGCCGGAGTAACAATCTCTATTCCTCTACATGCCTTATTTGGGCAGAGGTACACTGTGTTTCCCAGGAGACCTACAGTGAAATAACTAGAATCATGTAAAGTTCTATATTTTCTTTTTTCTTTGTCTTCAGGGACACCTTCTGCATCACCATCACCAACAGCTTGACCAGCCTTTTTGCAGCTGTCACCATCTTCTCTGGGATTGGATTCATCTCCCACATTCAAAACCAAGATGTGGATACAGTCATCCAGCAAGGTATTCAACACACAGGACGCATTGTGCTTTTTTCATTGATAGGTTGGCTAAATGCTAGAATTGGCCTTGTATAGAGCCTGGTGAAAGACCAATGAAAGCCAGTTACGATACAGTGTAGAAAAGGGGTTGGTCAAAGGCTGGCATAACTCAAAAGAGTAGTCAAACATTTTTGCCCTAATTCTTGAAGATGCTTTAGAGGCAGAAAAAAAAAATTACTTGATAAATCAACTCACGAGACTCATTATGCAACAGTTTAGCTGGTGCATGTAACTTTTTCCTTTAGTAAATATTTTAGCTAAACAAACATAGTTGCATGCTTAATTGCTCCACAGTGTGGTACCAGTTCACTTCTTTTACAGTTCTTTCAAGTTTGTGATTTAGAGGGGACTATTTCTTATAAAAAAAATCCTGCAGTGTCAGTGAATTAAGTACCATTTTATTAAAAGAATGTGAAAAAAATTCGGAAAAAAACAGACAGGTAAGGTGTTAGAATGCACATTTACATTTCCTGCAAGACTTTTTCAACACATATAGCTTACTTTATTTTCTTTTATGCAGCATATACATACCGGTACATGTACGCTCTCACCAAGTGCACTGCAAACGTGACCCCTTGGAGGCTAGACTGAGAGAAAGTTTACGGGTACACCGTGAGGAATCAATCTTTCCTTATAAGGGGTGGTTCTGAGTAGAACCGGTTAGTGTGAACTTGACACGTCAACCAGGATGCTCTGGATAGAGAGGATGATTCCACATGGTGTACCCGCAAACCGTCCCTCGGCTGTGACCCCTTGTTATTCAGATGCCGGGCATGTCTTTGATGACCAATGAGTGTCAAAGATCACTGATGAGCCAGGTCTATTCCACTTTGAAGTTTCCCACATCCCCATTCCCCTTGAAAAGCTCTCCCGCGCAAGAAACCGGTGACACATTCTTTGTACTTCAACTTTCCATAAAGACGTCTAGCCCTGTGGAAAGTACCACACAAGTTGTTGAACACTACCTTCCTCAACTCTGCAAAAGCTTTGGAAACCTTGTTGATTGTGAGGGGTCGATGACAGTTGGGGTTAACGTGCAAACAGCACACGCACTCAGATTGGAGGCAATAGTATAGGAAGCAATGACACACACCAGCTGTCAAATGTTTCTGCTTGCATGTAAATTTACATTCCTCGCTGCCCGTCTACCAGCCGACATTGACAGTGATTATTGCCCATTTCTGTCTGGTTACACAGGTCCTGGCCTGGTGTTTGTGGTGTATCCTGCCATCTTCAGCACCATGCCCATCTCCCAGCTCTGGTCCGTTCTCTTCTTCATCATGCTGTTCTGTCTTGGCATCGACAGTCAGGTTGGCTTCCAACATTTTTTCCAGGATTGTGTGGGGGTGAAACCGCATTGACCGGAAAGAAGAGTGTTGATAAAATGCGATGCTTGGTAGAAACCATTCGGTACAGTATGTCAGTTATCGACTCTCCACAACAAAAGCGCTCAATGGAAGAATCCAAGACACAGCGCAAGATTGCTCAACTGTGCCAGTCGCTCTGTGATGTCATACCCAACGAGACAGCTGATTGGCCAGAACATGTTATGTCAGCGCCTTGTCCTTGAAAAATCACTCGGGTACCTAAATAAATCTCTATCACTTTCAGCATAACATTTCCACTGGAAATTGCTGAATTGAATTTGGTTTGGTATGGGAAGTCCTGTATCGTTTATCTCATCTTGACTCTGTAGTTTGCCATGGTGAAGGTCGTCATCGCTACTTTCATGGACGGCCTGCCTAAACTGCGCCGCTTTTACTTCAATCGGCGTGAGGTTCTGGTGCTGTACATCTGCATCGTCTCCTTCCTGCTTGGAATCCCTCACGTCACACAGGTAAACGAGTCGCCACTCTCAACCCTATTCATTTCACAACCAAGGAGTACAAAGTCTGTCTTTTCCACTCGTTTTTTAAAAAAATGTTTTAATAACTGGCCGAAAAAGGAGAGGACGAACA